AGGATCCCAGGGCAGGGGTCTCCTCTCTCATTGCAAGGCATCCAGCCCCTCTCCCTGCATCCAAGTAACCCTCAATAAATATTGTCAATTAGAAATCCTGTTCCATCTCATTATTTTTTATCTCATGTTCAATTTGCAGCCTCCAGGAGAGGCTCTCATCTATCTGAGGCATCATCCAAAGAGGCCCTTCCTCACCTGGTCACTCCTTCCCCCCATACTCCACTGTAGCCTGGAACCCCGCACGGCATCTTGCTCAGGCCAGGCAGATCTTATGCCCTCCCTGATTCTGATGACAATGACCCACTGTTCCTCCTCTGGTGGCCCCAGGATCCTCCTGAGAGAACCCAGTAGGTCTGGACTTTCTGTTCTCTGTTCACAATCTGTCCTGGGCACATCTTTCTCCTGCTTCATATCTAAAGTTGTCCATTAACCCAGAGTGTACTGGTTCCTTAAAGTGGAAAGCGGGATTTAGAGGTCACACTTGGGCTGCTACTGACACAGCCCTTTTGGGTCAGACACTCAGAATGGACACGAGACCCTGCGAGGGTGACAGGGTCTTGCTTCCAACTTCTCCCTGGAGGTTGAGGCTGGAATTTCTTACTAGCACCTGGCGAGACCCATCCCAAACAAAGACACCAGAGAGGATGGAAGGGAGACCCCTGGAATTGTGGCTGTGTGGTCAGATTGGACCTTCCCATGGCTGCTGAGACTCTGGGCCAAGCTGTCCCTTCTCTGGGGTACTGGGGACACCTGAGGATGCCTCCCTGCTCTTACTTTGAGGTCACACCAAGAGATCGGGGTTACAGCAACCCTATAATGTAGAGAATCCCTGTCCGTTTCCATGCCACTTCCCTCCTTAGGGAAGCAAACGCCCTCCCAGGAGCCCATTCCCATTCCTGGGCCATAGTCAAAGGGAAAACCTGATCCAGACACGAACTTCCTTGTGCCTCTGCATTTCCAGATGTCCTGTCATTGCGTGTGTGGGGCTGACTGTCTCATCTCAGCTTGAGAAGGGCAGGCAGGGGTGTGGACACCTTCCCGAGCAAATGCCCGTCGGAGTCAGTGGTTCAACTTTCCTGCATTACAGCTGCTGCTGGGGGCTGGGGAGGGGGGCATAGGGGGTCCTAGGGAGTAGTTTTTATATGAGCCTGTGTCACAGTGTTTGATGTTCAGCAGACGGACCAAGCTGACTGTCCTAGGCGAGTCCCTTCTTCCCCTTCCTTCCCTGCTCTTGTCAAGTTTTTTGGTTTTTTTTTTGGTTGTTTTTTTTTTTTTTTGCTGGTTTTCATCTTTTTCTGCGACTTCTCACAGTCTGTGGCCTGGGTTTCCTTCTGGACCTTGGTTCTGAGAGGCTGACCTCTCCTCTCCCTATTTAGACCTCTGTATGCCTCAGCTGGTCACTGTGACCCCTTCACCTCTGACCCCAGAGGCAGGGCATTCAAATGGTGACCTCTTGAGACTCTTCTGTCTGTCTGCCAGGTGCATGTGGGTCCCCCAGACTCGCTCTGTTCTGTGTGCCTCTGTCTGGGCTCTTGACAGACCAGATTTGCCTGTGGGGTGAATTGGGGCCTCATGTCATGGAAAAGAAAGTGATATTAAATCCAGTAACAGGTTAAAAAAAAATCCACTACCAGGTAAAAAAAAAATCCACTACCAGGTAAAAAAAAATCCACTACCAGGTAAAAAAAAAATCCACTACCAGGTAAAAAAAAATCCACTACCAGGTAAAAAAAAATTGGTTCTTAACATCATTAATCATCTCAAAACTGCAAATAAAAATTACAATCAGATACCACATACTGTAATTAGATACAACCAAAAAAGAAACTACCATTTCATCTAGAAATTCCAATAGTGAGTATATGCTTAATGAAAATGAAATCAGTATATTGAAGAAACTACCATTTCATCTAGAAATTTCAATAGTGAATACACGCTTCATGAACATGAAATCAGTATACTGAAGTAATAGTTGCCTTCCCAGATTTAGGGAAGCACTACTCACAATAGCCAAGGTATGAAATCAACCTAACCTGTCCATCAACTGACAGAGCAATGAAGGAACTTCAGCACACAGACACAATGAAAGATGCCTCATCCTCAAAAATTCATGGCTTGATGTCATTTACAGCAACCCGGGATGATCCTGGAAGTCATAAACTGAGTCAGCTAGGCAGAATAAGACAAACACTGTATCATCGGAACCATGTGGAAGCTAAAACAAAGTATCTAATGGAAGGTGAAGGTACAATAGTGGTCAGCAGAGGCAGCAGGGAGGAGAGGGAAGGGGTAGTCATTGGCAATGGGTGCAGAGCTGCGGTTCCAAGGAAGGGATGAATTCTGTTGAGGCACTCCACAGCAGGGTGACTGGTGGTACCAATATGGCAGCCTCTTTTTCAGTAGAGCTAGAAAGAAGGACAATGAAGGTTCACAACACATAGAAATAAAAACTAGATATGGGAACAGATGTGAGGAACACCCTGATTTCATCATTCCTCAGTGTATACAAATAGGAAAAAATCCCACTGCGCCCCCTAATTTTGGACATGTATTACAAAACAAAAAAAATTTTTTTTTTTTTTTGAGACGGAGTCTTGCTCTGTCACCCAGGCTGGAGTGCAGTGGCGTGATCTCCACTCACTGCAAGCTCCGCCTCCCGGGTTCACGCCATTCTCCTGCCTCAGTCTCCCGAGTAGCTGGGACTACAGGCACCCGCCACCTCGCCCGGCTAATTTTTGTATTTTTAGTAGAGACGGGGTTTCACCGTGTTAGCCAGGATGGTCTCGATCTCCTGACCTCGTGATCCGCCCGTCTCGGCCTCCCAAAGTGCTGGGATTACGTGAGCCACCGCGCCCGGCCTGCACAAAACAAATTGTAAAACTATAAATAAGCAATATTTTAGAAAGAAAAAAGAAGAGAAAAAGAAAAAAGAGCAACACACCACACCACCACAACAAAACAAACCCAAATCATGTAAATGGAAGGGAACACAAACGAAAATGGAAAGTAATGAAAGAGCTCTTCCTGCTGAGCCCTCCCTGAGGTACGGTGGCAGGGGAGTGGCCAAGGGGCACGAAGCTGGATGATATGTCAAGCTGGCTGCCCCAGACATGTCTCCCTGTGACCCCAGATTCCTCTCCTGGGAATGCTAATCTGAGGTCTCCTGAGAAGAAGGCTTCCTTCCCACCGCTGTTGGGATATGGCCCAAGCCTTCAGCGCAGCACCAGGTGTGGACAGGGATCAAGAGCACAAATTGGTTCCCCTGACTTGAGTCTCCAGAAGCCTCAGGCGCCTTCCCAGGGGCCTCAAACTTGTAGGGTTCACATGAAGCTCCCTGCCTCGGTCTTCCCAGCCCACATCAACCCTCACCTGCTGACATCTCCTCTTAAGGGAGCCTCCCCGCCACTCATCTCATGGAACTCGGCTCTGGAGATTACAGCAGCCCACAGTGGCCCCAGGGCTGTCTCTGTGGGACTGTTAAATGCCACTTACCCCTGAGCTGAGATAGCAGGAGAGCAGAAGCTTGGACAGGGCCTTCCCAGCAACGGATGATCTGGTCCCCACAGCTCATCTAGAGGGGGATGCCCTTGCCAGTGTGGGTACTGGGGCTGCTCTGTCCAGCTCCCCTGCCCACATTGCTTGCACATGAAGCCTGGAGTCCCCAGCTGAGCACACAAGCAGATGCAGGGTACTCTTCCCAGCCTGTGCAGCGGGCACCAGGGCTCTGGGCAGTACTGTCCAGTCTGACTCTGTCACTCAGCCAAGGTGAGGCAGGGGCAGAGGGAAACCCCCAGATTCTTCGGATCCTGCCTGCTTGGCCTTTGGAGCAAGGTAGGGTTGGGACCTGGGGGCCTCAGCCTCCAAGCGCTGACCACAGACCAACACCTCCCTACCCTAAGAGCGTCTTCTCTCTTCTCTTAGCACCAGAGTCACTCCTTCCCGAACGGCATCGGTGGGGGCCCCTTCTTGGTGCAGAGCTCGCTCAGGCCCATCTCCCGCAGCCTCTCTCAGGGTTGCCAGATGTAGTCCCCATCGTGGCCCTTGAGAGGGCCCACTGGGCAGTTGGGTGCAGACTGGAGTCCAAGGAATGAAATTAGAGGAAATGCTCAGTGGTCCTGGCTACAGAAAATACTAAAAGTCTCCATAACTCTGGAGAAAAGGAACATTTCAGTGAAGAGGTTATGGTCAGCCTGAGCAAAGAATTATACCTATAAATGGTGGTGGGCCCCTATGATGTACCCGACACTGGTAGCTTCTGCCCTGACACAATCTCTACTCCTCCACCTACCAATACCTGACTGTCTCTCTGCTGAAACACGGAGGACACATTCACCCTGGCCAAGTCATGTTTGGAACCGTCTTCCTCCTTCCTTGTCCATGTCTATTCCCTAATTCACCATTAAACAGCAATCAATCCCTGCAAGTCTTACTGTAATCTATAAAACCTATATTAGTGATCATATCAGTCTTTCGACTTGAAGGATAATATGTTTTGTAGAAATTTTTTTCAGAATGCTCTGGACAATTAATTTTCTCTAGGCCATATCACACTGCCTCCTCCATGAGAACTGGTGGCTTCACCTGTCAACCACATACCCAATGCCTTACATTATTGACCTTTGTATTTGCTGCCCTTATTCTCTGCAATCAGTCAGTTATGACAAACAACTTTCAAATACCTTTCTCCTGGCTCCAAAATTTACCATTGCTTTGCTTAAGGTCTCACCTCCCATGTAGAATGGAAAACATTCTTTCATCTAAGGCCTCCTCCTCCTGGCCTTGGAGCCTCCTAATGTCCAGGATCAGCACCTCTGTCATCACATTGTCAGCTGCAGAGATATTCTATCTGCTGTCAGAACTGGGCACAGTTAATTTGTTTACAAACATGCAAAATAACAAAAGCCTCGAATCATGCTCTATATACTGAATTGGAGTAATAACATGTGGAAGCAGAAACATATTTAATATTGACCACTTGCATTGTCTTAATTATTATTTATTTGTTCCTGCATCAAGGTGGTAGAAAGGGGGTCATGGTGTCTGCCTTCAGAGACCCTCCACTCTAAATGAAGAAAAGTTCAATGAAGCAAACACGTGACATAAAGTAAAATAAGAATTGCTACTGTGAATAAGAGTCACATATTGCCACAAAGCATACCTATGAGAATATGAAATAGGGAAGATTTCTCATAAAAAGTTTTGATTTCGGAGGAAGAAACAGAATTAAACTAAAGTCAAGAGATATTTGGGCCTTGGAAATAGAGGAGAAACATGGGGTTGGCTTCTGTCCATTTGCTGAGCAACTTGTTTTCCTTTTCACAGTGGATATGACCTTGGATGCCAACACAGCCAACAACTTCCTCCTCATTTCCGGCGACCTCAGGAGCGTCCGAAGTGGGTGCATCAGACAGAATCGGCAAGACCTTGCCGAGAGATTTGACTTGTCCATTTGTGTCCTGGGTTCCCCTTGCTTTACCTGTGACTACCACTACTGGGAGGTGGACGTGGGAACAAGCACACAATGGGACCTGGGAGTCTGCAGAGAATCTGTTCACCGCAAAGGAAGGATCCAGCTGACCACAGAGCGTGGATTCTGGACTGTGAGTTTGAGGGCTGGAGGCCGCCTCTCTGCCAGCACGGTGCCGCTGACTTTCCTCTTCATAGACCGAAAGTTACAGCGAGTGGGGATTTTTCTGGATATGGGCATGCAGAACGTTTCGTTTTTTGATGCTGAAGGTGGTTCCCATGTCTATACATTCAGGAGAGTCTCTGCTGAGGAGCCACTGCGCCCGTTTTTGGCTCCTTCAATTCCACCTAATGGTGATCAGGGTGTCCTGAGTAGCTGTCCTGTGATGAACTCAGGCACTACTGATACTCCGGTCCATCCTGGGGAGGCCAGATAGGCCCCCACTGCAAAGAAAACAGGGTCAGAAAATTACTTGGGTGGGTAGACTTAGGAACTTTCTACTTGGTAAAAGCATTATACAAAGTCATAGGAGAAAAATATGGGACATTTCTATAATCTGTATTTAATCTAATTTGGTTAGATTATTGAATTCTAAATATTAGTGCCACAAATATTGATACTAAAGTATCAATATTTGCCCATTAATTTTAGCAAATGTAACACAGTAATGTAAGATGGGAATACTAGGTGGAATTATAAGGTAGGGTGAGAGAATGGAATGATATGGGAACTTTGTGTATTACATGCTCGATTTTTATGTCAATCTAAAACTCTCTTGGTTAAAGAAACATAAAATTATAGCTCCACTGTTTCAGGGAGATCTCTTCACAATAATGTTCAACAATTGAGTAATGTCTAGACATTAGCTTGAAAGATTGTCTTACTATTAAATGTGAACCAAAATTGACTTCTAAATGTATATTTAATTTTGTGATTTCAGCAATACTTCTTGACTAGGCAAATAAAAATTTTGGCACATTTGAACATATGGCTTAACCTCCTCTGTAGCTTCTTCTAACATATGGGACACTGAATATAACCCACAATTGTTATTCTTAAATCAACTTAATAAATTTCCATGGTACCTTCATGTAGGTGCACCCGGTGGTTTGCCCAGAGTCCAGGTTGCGTCATGTGCCTCTTGGTGTAGACGCTGTATCTTCTTACAATCTCTATCAGAGAAGATCTTGGTTAATCTTTCTGCAATGCAGAGAGCCACTGATACGTTACTGACAGAAAGACCAGAGGGAGAATTGCGATCATTGGTTCTGAGTTCTAACTTCTGATCCCATTGTTTACTGGCTTCCAAACAGGGTCATGTGAATCAAAGTTGGGTCTCAGGAAGATCATGGAGTTCCGTGAGCACTTTATACGTGGATTAGAAAGACTGCGTGGGCGATGCCTTCACATAGATAAGGCGATACAGAAAGGCAGAGGGTTGATGTAGTGGGTCCCACTAGAGACATGTGGACCTGGGAAGGTCATGCAATCCCTCGGTCCTCAGATCTCTGCACTGTCATGTTAAAACGTTCATAGGGCCTACTTATTAATATCACAGTGTGGGGCTAGAAAAATCACTACATGCAGGAGAATATTAAGAAAGAGAGTCAGAACTTCAGTAGTGATATGTAAGGGTTTACAAAATGCCGGAAGGAATAAGCTGGACACTTAGTAGTGGCTGAACACGGAGAGGCTGTTTGGGTGGCTCCAGACCAGTGGAGGATGGGTCCCTGTTCATCTTTTACGTGGGTGTGATGCCTTACAACTTCTGGAGGACATCTGCTATTATCTCCGGGAATCCCCACATCAGCCTGGCAGGGTGGGCAGAGGAGGGGCCGCCGCTCAGATTTTCCAGTGGGGGGCACTAAGTATCACTTAGAGATGGTGAGTGATTTGCAGAATCCCATTCCAATGAGTGAAGGGTCTGGGGGAGAAATGAATTTGGTTCCCCAGAGACAGAGATTCCTGAACAACTGAGACCTCCGTATCATGCCCTGGACCACTGATCAGAGGGACCCCTTCACTCTCCTTCTCCAATCCTTTTATTCCAAGGTGTGTGGAAAGACAGAGTTTGCGCTTGGGAAGAGTTGCCTGAGATGAAGACAGGTCCCTAATTATAAAGCATTGTTTTCCTCTGCCTTTCAAATCTTCCACCCCAAATATCACACAGTTGTTTTTAAAGGATGTCATCTGTGGGACCTTTGGAAGCACAAATGTGTGGCCTTCCTCCCCCACTCCCTTCACCCTGTCAGCTGTCTCTCAGTAACTGTTTCCTCCGGTGACCACAGTGAGGGGCCAGTGTCTGCCTGTCTCCAAGACTGCTCAGGCCTTATGCAAAACATCTATCACAAGCTGCTTCTGCAGGTAACAACTTCTCTCCTACTTATCAAACCTGAATAAGTACCTAATGCGAATTAACTGAAAACGTGGCCATCTGGGCTGGTGCTTTGGTGGTTTAATGAATTTAGTCTGCCGCTCCCACTTTCTCCTTGACTGCTGATCTGAGCCACCTGGAACAAGATGTGGCTAAGAATGGGCAGCACGTGCACCAGCATGGAGTGTGCCCCTTATCATCTCATTCTTTCCTCATCAAAGATCACTTTCTATTTTACAAACTCCACATTCATTCCTTGACCTTGCTGTGGCAGGGGACAGTCCTATCTCCTCTCAGAAAGACCCCTCTGGCTGGGTGCAGTGGCTCACGCCTGTAATCCCAGCACTTTGGGAGGCCGAGGTGGGCGGATCACGAGGTCAGGAGATCGAGACCATCCTGGTTAACATGGTGAAACCCTGTCTGTACTAAAAATACAAAAAATTAGCTGGGTGTGGTGGCGGGCGCCTGTAGTCCCAGCTACTCAGGAGGCTGAGGCAGGAGAATGGCGTGAACCCGGGAGGTGGAGCTTGCAGTGAGCCGAGATCGTACCACTGCACTCCAGCCTGGGAGACAGAGCAAGACTCTGTTTCAAAAAAAAAACAAAAACAAAAAACCCCTCCAGAGCCACAGCCTGGAAACTCTGCCCCAGGACTCTCATTCAGGTTCACTCTGATCCCCCTTTCCCTCTGTCTCCAGATGTCCCTTCCATTAACCCAGCGGCTCTGCCTCTTCTCCCAATCCTTCACTAGTGAAAATGCCATTGATTCTCTCTCGTGAGCCCTGTGAAAGTCCTCTCATAAAATACCACTGTTCATCCTATTGTTTTTTTAAGTCCGACTCTAGATCACTAACATTTGTTTTCAGATTTTGGGTTCTACATTCAGAGGAATGTTTCTGTCCTTCCCCTTTGCCAGTCAAGTCTATTATTGCAGGAGTGGAATCAAGATTCTCCTAAAATGATAAACCACTATGGCTGTGTTTGTTCTGTGTACTCTCTGGAAGTGTGTGCCCAGGACTGCCAGTCTTTATTTTATTATTTGGTAGAAATAAAAGTAAGTCACACGGTCCTGATATTTACATTTTGAGTGTAAAAAAATTTTTTAATTGTTTTCATCAAAACTCACTTTAGATATTAATATGTTCATCTTGGTATTTTCTTCTAAACGCTATAAACCTGTGTTTCCCATAATTTATTTCTCTTAGTGATCTGTATCCTTCTGTGAACCTCTGCTTGCTCTCAGAGGGATCCTACATACAGAAATGGAGATTTACATTCCAGTTTGGAGAGATCTCATTTTCCATTCTCAGAGCCTCCTATGTGCCTTAGGGACCACCGTGTCCCTGCTTTAACCCTATGTAATAGAAACAAATAAGATCTTTATTCTCAGAAAGGTCAATAGTCTTCAGAGGAACCCCACATTCTTACACAACTCTGTCATCCAGGTCTCAGGCAAAGCCCTCATAACTTGGCAGAATTTAAGGTGTCACAACTTTACAGGCTTCTGTTTGTTATCACAAAGATGTGCCCACTTTTAGTAGAGATTTTAGCAGCAGTGGCCTAGTTATTAACAAAAAATAGAAAGTACTAGAAGAAAGCACATAAAGAACACACTGTGTAAAATTTGACCTAAAAATGACCAATCTTACAGGGACACACAGAGCAGAACAACACACACGGGGCCTATCAGATGGGGAAGGGTGGGAGGAGGAGGATCAGGAAGAATAACTAATGGGTACTAGGCTTAATACCCAGGTGACAAAATCATCTGTACAACAAACTCCCGTGACACAAGTTGGCCTATGTAACAAACCTGCACTTGTACCCCTGAACTTAACAGTTAAAAAAAACTGGTGGGACAAAATGAGACACCATTTCACACATCAGAATGGCCATTATTAAAAAGTCAAAAAATAGCAGATACTGGCAAAGTTGCAGAGAAAAGGGAGCACTTACACACTGTTAGAGACAGTGTAAATTGGTTCAGCCATTGTGGAAAGGAGTATGGTGATTCCTCAAAGAGCTAAAAACAGAAATATCATTCAATCCAGCAATCCCGTTACTGGGTATATACCCAAAGAAATGTAAATCATTCTACCCTAAAGACATCCACACATATGTCCACAGCAGCACTATTCACAATAGCAAAGATCCACATGCCCACCAATGACATATTGGATAAAGAAAATGTGGTACATATACACCATGGAATACTACGCAGCCATAAAAGAGAATGAGATCATGTCCTTTGCAGGAACATGGATGGAACTGGAGGCCATCATACTTAGTAAACTAGTAAAGGTACAGAAAACCAAATACTGCATGTTCTCACTTATAAGCAGGAGCTAAGTGATGAGGACACGTGGACACAAAGAGAGGAACAACAGACTTGGGTCTACTTGAGAGTGGAGGGTGGGTGGGAGGAGAGGATCAGAAAAACAGATCCATTGTATACTAGGCCTAGTACCTAGATGATGAAATAATCTGAACAACAAACCCCTGTGACACAAGTTGACCTATATAACAAACCTGCACATATACCCCTGGACTTAAAATAAAAGTTAAAAAATAAATGACCCATCTCATTCAGTAACCTCACCACAGTCTTATGGATTCAATTAGCCTGTTCAATTCTTTGTTGTGTTTACTCCATCAACTTCCCGTGTAACTGTACTCCACAAGGCATATAACAGAACCACTGAACAGAGGAGGCAAATCGGGTCTTTTATCCTCCCCTTCAAATATTTTACAAGCTCTATGGCTGGTATGAGTTAAATCATAACTTTGTAGTTATCATAATCTTATGTACTTCCAAATGTGCTTTTTCCTGCAGGCTCAGGCACTTATCATTTGGTTGCGTGCTCCTCTTCATGTGCTTTTTAAGGCACTCTTTGTTGGAAGGACCAATGAGTTCAGTATGGGAATGTCTGGTTTTTTTCATTAATTTATGTTCTATGGGCAATGATTTGAAATTGTATGGAATTAATGGAAGTCGGTCTCACTTTCTATTGAGTGTGCAGGACCCTTTAGGCTTGCACCCCCTGTGTGCGGTTGGGACACGCAT